ATCGCTTTGCTGTACTGAAGGACAGTGCTGCAGCCATGTAGCTCTGCTCATCTCACATGTGGCCTTCTCAGGACTATGGAGGTTGTGGCGGGGCGTGGCTTGCAGTGCCGTGCAGGGAAGGCGGATGCACCTACACAGCATCCACAATCATGCCCGCTGACTAAAGTATTGTACTGGGTCCTGTGATTGGGGTTGTTGTTGATATGTGTGCTAAATTTGTCCACCCCTACAAACAGTCACGTGTTAGAGAGCACAGCTCATGCAGTGAAAACCTTGTGTGCTGTCCATGGTGCTGAAATAATAACAGTATAATGAATTTAACATTACTATTTATTAGTCGTGTTCAATAATACAAGATTTGGTATCAATCTGATACCAAGTAAATGCAGGGCCTGTATCACTGATACTGATATTAGTACCAATACTTTTTAATAATTAAGGTACATGATCATTGTCACTAGTTCTGAATGAATTTTCATCACCTTTAAGACAGCCAGGTTGCCTCTTTGGTGAAATTGCAGCAGCGCATAAAGGAAAGAAACACAAAGTAAAGTATCGAGTTCATTATACTTGTAAGGAGAAACAACGTGTTGATTGACCAGGTGGACTGGGAGACCATGACAGATACAATAAATTCTAAGTGGACCAATGTCTCCCTCTATTGGCCACCAGCTGTAAACACAGTCCTGTGATTGTACTTGGAAGCTGTTCTGAGTATGACATGGGAAATATGGGACAAGGAACTATATCTGTATGTCCACACTGACACTTAACTTTATTTACCATGAGCCCACCGGCGGGTGGGCTCATGGTAAATAAAGTTAAAGGTTTTTTTTTTCTTCAAACCTCTTCCACCCACTTGATTAGCAGTGGTTGATGAAAGCTGCAAATTTACGGAGCCCCGCAAGGGACAAAAAGAGAAAAAAAATTAAGATGAACTAAGATGAACTTTTGTGAGATCTTACTAACTAACATCACACTCATTCATAGCATGCATAGATGGTTCAGAGAGCAACTTAGGGGTTAGTATCTTACCCAAGGATACTTGGCATGCAGACTGGGGGAGCCAAGGATCGAACTGATCAGTAGATGACCTGCTCTTCCTCCTGAGCTACAGCCACCCCCTGTTCTTCTGAGGAAAGAAATGCTGGCAGCTCTGCTCTGTGTGGCAGGTTAAATATATTGGCAATGTTGAGGTCTTATTGAGTCAGTAGAGGGCGCTCTGGTGCCGTTGTGAATTCAACAGACAGCCTGCAGCAGGCTCTGCGCATGTGCAGCACAGCAGTAAATAAAACAGCTTCCCAGATTTGGCTACATCTGTGACTTCAGTAACACTTTAAATACTAGTGAGCATTAGAGATGTATAAGCAAATATTGACTTAATCTCTCATAAAGCTTTTCTCCTCCATTACTACACTTTAGTGTGTAATTTATAAACACGGGCAACCACATTATTCTTTATTAAAAATATGTATGTAATATGCTTAAGTAATGTCTGATGTTATAAATGATGATGTAATGATTTTTAAATAAAGTATTACATGAAGTACAAACCTATTACTGTGGTTCATGGGGTCAGTTTGAATTAACATTTGGACAACAGAAAATGTTATGGACTAAATTTAACATTACAGTCTCCTGTAGTGGAAGCTGCTGTTAACCTCTTGTTGTTAGTTTGGGAATAATCGTACACACTGAACCAAAATCAACATAAAACATTCAAATGTAAAAAGACTTTACTCTCTACCTTCTAACTATACACGTAGAAAATTATAAATTAGGAAAAAAAAACAGAAAAAAAATACATGAAACATATTTATTGCATTTAAATTCATACAGTACCGATCATATCATTTGTATCAATTTAGACCAATAAAGATATTTGTTGTTGCCCATACCAGTACGTCCTAATGTGAGTCGTCCTATCAGATACTAAAGATCACGTTTCAAACTTTCTTCTCACTGCTCTTGAAAAAGTCTTTAACAAAAGTTTTAAGAATGAATATAAGAAATACCTGACTATAACGCACAAAACTCAAATATGAATATACCGCCATTTACTTTTTGCTATAAGTAAGTATATGATATTATGATGTAATATTGTAACTGTACATAAAGCTGAGCATGTCTGATATTTGGGCAGCAGAGGAGCAAGAGTGGCTTCATAAAAAGCTTCTTCTTGGCTTTGCTGCTACAGCTCTCCTCACTGACCTGTAAGACAAGCACAAAAAGACAAAGTGATTTCCAACATGTAAAGATATTATGAGCTGAAGACATTTAATAATGTGAAGAATAAATCAGCCTGCATGGCAGCAGAATTACTGAGAGAGAGTAAAAACATGAGAGAAACTTTTAGTTTGGGGACATATAGATGGACAATACCATACTGTACAATAACAATATCATTCTGTATATGAAGCAGCACTTCACACTAACGCCCCTTGTAAAGATTAGTTGCTATGTTAGTCTAGTACTAAGCTGGTCATGTAACATGTTGCATTACCTCTAAATGAAAAAATAAAAAAGGAAAATATGTAATAAAAGATCGGTTTAAGTGCTGACCAGGATGAACGAGAGTTGTCACATGAGTTTCATTCTGGTTGACTCCATGATTTGTGGAGGAGCCCGGACTGTGACTCTCAGACTGGATCGACCTGAAACAGGAAATAAACACAATAAACTCAAAAGTAACTGATGTTTGTTTAAAAGTAATAATAAAAAGTATTTTACCAACCTGGTGAAGCAGGAATCTGTGAAAGAGACAAATGTTATTACACATGTTTGTGATGTGAATTGTTCGATCAGAATACATGTATATGTGTGAATAATTAAAGTGTTGTAGTAAATAAACTCTCTAATACAGCATGAAAAGAAGAGGCTCTTACACTTGGACTGTCTGCAGCGATCACAACAAGAGCAGGAGAATAATAATGAGAGAGACTCCACAAACCAGTCCAACCATCAACCACACAGGAGATGAAGAGCTGTCAGCTCCTGACACAGTTACTGTGCACAACAAACAAAATTAATTATTAATCAACTTTTTTATGTTTAATATTTCATAACATAACTTTATAAAAGATCCAGTTCATCTGTTTTCCTTGACTAGATTCTGAGTCAACCCCTGCTGTGTTTAAATGACTTGACCCTTCACATGAATCACTCAATCACACCAGTCTCTTAAAATGTCTAACAAACTCACCAGGTTGTGTTAATCTGAACTTCTTGGCTGTACTCTGTGTAGTAAACTGGGTTTCCTCTTCCTCCTCTGCACCTGTAGAGTCCTTCCTGTGAGACACTGATTTGTCCATTTGAGTGGAAAACTGCATCTTGTGTGGTCAGGGCTTCAGAGGATTTCTCATCTCTGTACCAGTAGTATTTCCATCCAGATGATGATGATGGGCTCACAGAGCAGGTCAGGGTCACACTGCCCCCTACTGGAACAGCTGTGTTATCAGCTCTCAGTTTGGCCTTTGGTTTATCTGCAGTTCAGTTTAGAAAAAGAAACAAATAAATGACTCAATCTAAACAATTTAAACAACTAGATGGAAATGGTGAACATAAACAATAAACTGTAAACTAATTTAGATTGACACTGTGAAACCTTTTTATTTTCTTTGATGTATTTAAAAAGTAATTTGTCATGGTCTGTTGACTCTGTGTTTAGGTTTTTGATTCTTTAAGATTCTTTTATTTAGTGGTTTTTCATGGTTTTGTCTTTTCTATTTCTAGTTCCCTTTGTTATTCCTTAGCCCTTAGGTTTGTGACTGTGCCTCTCGTGTTCAGACATTACATAATTAGGCATTACATCCACAGTGTTGGGGAGTAACGGAATACATGTACCGCCGTTACGTATTTAAAATACAAAATATGAGTAACTGTATTCCGTTACAGTTACCGTTTAAAAAGGTGGTATTTAGAATACAGTTACTTTGTTGAAATAAATGGATTACACTGCGGTACTTTCCTGTTTCATATTGTCGCGGGTCAGGACTGTTTGGGTTTTGTTTGACAGCTACGTTCTGTTGTTCCAGGCGGCAGCGTTACGGTTGCCATGGTTACAGGGTAACGCTCTCTCTGAGTGATGGGATTTCCGACTCTTTTTAGAGAACTGGTTCTTTCGGCTCACTAAAAAACCGACACTTTCTAGCAGTTAACTGAACTTCAAAACAGAGCTACCTAGATCACTTAAATTACACAATTGAAAGCATATGTGTATTGTTTGTGTATTTATACACAAGCACTCATATATATTCAAATAATTTAAAAAAAAGTTCATTTACCTGTTACTACCACACACCAAATCTGGTCGTTGGTACTTGCTGGCTTGTGTGCCACTAGGTAACAAAAGCTCAACACTGCCCCTAGCATCCTGGAGCACTTCTGTTGTCGTTTTGTATCGTGTTCTTGAGTTTTTACGTGCTTCTGAGTAGTGTTTGTTTACGTGTTTTGGAATTTTTACATGCTTGGGGTTTGTACGTGCTTTGTCTGTAGGCCACCGTAAATATACTTTTATTTATTCACTCCACATAAAATGTAATAAATAAATCATATAATACAAAAACCAACTATTTACATTTCAACTTTTAACTATTTAAATTTTCAGCTTTTTCCTTTTAACAAAAACACTGCAAACCACAACACAATTAAATATAAATTAAAATATGAAAACAAAAAGAAGATGCACATTCTCTGTCATATGGGCCTGCATGAATAAACTTCTGAATCCTTTATCATCTGCAACTGAAAATAGTTGTGGATGATTACTATACCTTTCTAATTTGCATGTTGTCCCTGGCTCTCTTTCCCTCCCGCTCTGTTCCTGTGCTACTGAGAGTGTAACTACTGCCCCTCCCCCTACCCAGCAAAGCACAAGGCTCGCGTGCGGAGTGAAGCAGAAAAAAAGTGCGAGAGGGTGAGAGAAAGAAAAAAAACCACGGCTCGCGATAAGGAGACGACTCGCGTCGTTCACTTCAAAGAGTCGGCTCTAAGAGCTGCTTCGTTCGCGACCGACACATCACTATCTTTCCTGGGTGACAGAGCACCTTTTTTTTGTTGTTGTTGTGCTAAGCTAATAGGCAGAGTGTTACAGGCATAGCCCTAAAGAATGTAGCCTCATGGGCAGTGTAGTCCGTGCAGCAAGGAGAGTGGACGGCCATACCCGTTATGTGTCTGTGAGGGGGAGGAGGGAGAAAAAGGAGAGTGGAAAAGTACGAGTTGTCATTGAGCAGAAACGGGAGCTGGAAGCATGTAAATATAATAATAACCACTGCAGCCAAGAAGAGTGCCTGACGAGCCCGGTTGTAAGTAAGCTGTTAAGACTCGACTGTACACTGTGTTCGTGTTTTCCTCAGAAACAATAAGTTCAGTTGGAGCAGCCTTTCAATGCCTCTCTCTGTCTCTCGCTAGCAAACTTGACCCAGACAACAAAGTAAAGCTAGTTTTCGGCTACGAGCCGACACAGAACCTGACATATTAGCCAGAGGTCCCTTTACTATGGTTTGGAGCTGCAGACCTTCAGTAATAGTAATAAATCACATTCATGTAGTTGTAAACAGCATGAATATATATTAAGTAATCCAAAGTATTCAGAATACATTACTCTCATTGAGTAACGTAACGGAATATGTTACGAAATACATTTTTGGGGCATGTATTCTGTAATCTGTAGTGGAATACATTTTAAAAGTAACCTTCCCAACATTAATAACCACCACATGCAGGAGACTCTGACAGCACTGAGCAGCTCCTTCAGTGGCAGGCTGTGGCACCCACAATGTGGGACAGATGTAGGTGTTTCCTTCCTGCTGCTGTCACACTCCACAACAAAGACTTTGCAGCTGACCAAACACACACATCCACACATGTGCAATAACACTAAGTACAATTCTCTTTCCCTGACAACATTGTATTTTACTCAGTTGTATATAGCATTTGTATTCTATTGTTTATAGTATTTTATTTTATTCTATTCTATTGTGTACGGTACAGTGGCCCCTCGCTATAACGCGGGTCAACTTTCGCGCCCCTCTGTTTCGCGGATATTTTTTGTGCAGCTTTCATGCTTTTTTATTTTTATTTTTTATTTTCAGCGCATTGTGTTCTGCGTCCTGATTGCCTGTAGACCATTGTCAGTCAATCTCGTGCAATGTCTCCTGTACAGAATGCATTCAGCTTGTCAAATTTACATAAATCTTTGATTGCTAGCAGTGACTCTGAAGTGCTGTACTGTAGATTTGTAAGTTTTCTCCCCAACAAACACAACAATGTCGATGAAATGTTTTGTACCATCAAAGGCAACCTCAGTATGCTAGCCTCCTACTGTAGGTGACTGGTGGCGGTGAGGATAGTAGTCATATCAACAGTAATATTATTTTGATGTTTTTCTTTTGACTTCCTTCCCTCGATTCTCCTCCATCTGCTGCTTTGCCCTCAAGCTGGTGTGGCTCCAACCCTGAATATTTTCACTAAAGCTCCAAATCTGATTGGCTTTGTATTAAACCCAGTCATGTGTCTGTTTTATTTTAACAAATGGCAGTGCTTTATGAGATCACAGGCCAGAATGACTTATTCTTTCTTATAAAAATTGTAGATTTGCTGCTATTTGTTGGAAATTATCATTATTATTAGTAGTAATAGTAGTAGTAGTATTTGTATTTCTGTTTATTTCTGTAATTATTGTCCTCAGGTGATGTAGCATCGGGGTAGTATTGCCGTCACTATACCAGGTGAAAGGTTCGACGGCTGGACTCCGAAACTCTGAATGTCACATCATTATTGTGTGTCCACTGTGTGGTTTCACCTCCTTCCTGCACCTCACATGTCAGAGTGATCGTCTCACCTCTGAATATCTGAGGCCAGTTGGGTTGTTGTTTTACAACAACTTTATTGGAAACTGTTTACACATATTAACAGTTGAGATACAAATAGAAACATGAAATCAACACAGAAAACTTAACATTGTATGTTAAAAAAAACATTTTATGTTTGATAGTCATGAGTGAATGTATATTTCAAACTAAATGACTGAACTCACAGGTTATCGTAACAGTGACATCATCACTTCTATCACTGTAGTAAACTGGGTTTCCTCTTGTTCCTCTGCAGCGGTAGATTCCTCCTTGAGATACTCTGATATCTCTGTTTTGTTGACCTCT